ACCCCTGTGCAGTGATGATTGGGGATGAGTAAGCACACCACTTGCCAGCCCACTCCGCCCCCAGTACTGGGAACACTCAGGCGCAACAGGGAGCCTAGTCAAGCAAGGACACATTTATTGCAGGTGTTACAAAGCTTATAAAGGCACCTTGAAATCCCCCCCTCCCCCCTGAGGGTCTATCTTAAGGATGGTCACACACTGATCATGCACTCCTCAGCAGTGCAGAAGTATTCTTCAGACTTTCAAAGCAAGTCAGGCCTCACCCAGTAACTTCCTCTCTGACTTCTGCAAGGTGGGGTCTTTAGGTCCCCACAGCATGTATGTTCATTAAGGCTATGGGTCTATAATTTTGTTTTTGGTTGATTCTTTACATGGTTTTGATATTTGAGTGTTACTGGCTTCTTAGAAGGTATTTGGAAGTTCTCCATTTCTCTCTTTTTGAATAATGTAAGTACTATTGGTTGTAGATATTCTTTAAATATCTGGTGGAATTTTGTATCTCCATCTTGCCTGCATATTTTTTAGCAGGAAGTTTCATATTGCTGTTTCAACACCTTATACATTATGGGTCTATTCAAACTGTTAGTCTCTTCTTGATTTAGCTTTGGCAGTTCCAATGATTTTAGACATCCCTACATTTCATTTAGCTTTTCAGATGGAATACTGTATAGGTTGGTAAAGTATTCCCTTATTCTTTTCTCGAACATTTGTTGCCTATTCTAATAGTTCCCCTTTAGTCTCTTATTTTAGTCTTTTGATGTTTCACTGTCTTTCTTTTGGTTAACTTGGATATAAATTTAACTTGTTTGGCTTTTCAAAGTACCAGCTCTTAGATTTGTTGATTCTTTCTATTGTTTTCTTTCTATTTCCTTAATTTCTGCTCTGATTTTTGTTATTTCTTCTCTTCTGCTGTAGTTGGTTTTAACTTGTTCTTGCTTTTTTCCAGGGGTTTAGTTGCAATCTTAAGTTTCATTTATGTGTGCTCTTTCTGATATTTTAATGTACGCACCTAGACCTATAAAGTTCCCTGCTCGGACTGCTTTTAAATTTCCCAGAGCTTGGTTGTGTTGTATTATCCTTTTCATTTAGTTCCAGGAATACTGGTACTTCTTTCTTAAGTTCTTCTTTGACTGATTCCTCATTCAGAAATGTGTTGTTTAATCTCCATGACTTTTGTAGTGGCTAGGGTTTATTTTAGTGCTTATTTTAAGCTTCACTGCATTGTGGTCTGGTAAAAGGTTTGGAATTTTTTTTGTATTTTTTGCACTTTGTTTTGTGCCCTAGTATGTAACTAATTTTAGAAAAATTTCCATGGAGTGCTCAATACAAAATTCATTGTTTGGTGTTTGGTTGGAATACTCAGTTAGGTGTCTATCAGGTCCATTTGATGTATGTTAACATTTAATTCAGATATCTTTTTGTTTATCCTTTGTCCAGTTGACCTCTCTAATGGAGAAAGTGGGGTATTGAAATCCCCTACTAATACAGTATTGGGGTTCACTTGTGTCTTAAAGTCCTGTAGTACTCTTTTAATAAAATCGAGTTCACCAGAGTTTGGTGCGTATATGTTCATCATTATAATATCTTCTTTCAGTTGTTCCTTTGATCAGAATAAAGTGACTTTCTTATCTCTTCTGATTAGTTTTATTATGAAGCCTGTTTTATCAGGTATTAAAATTGCCACCCCTGCTTCTTTCTTCATGCTATTTGCTTGGAGAATTCTTTTCCATCTTTTCACTTTAAGGTAGTGCCTCTCCTAGAAGGTGAAGTGTTTTCTTGTAGGCAATAAAAGGATGGATTGCATTTCTTTCTTTTCATTTTTTTGGTAACCAGGTCACACTGTAGCCCCAGCTGGTCTGGAATACTCTATGTAGACCAGATGGGCCTCCATCTCACAAAGATTCATCTGCCCCTGCCTCCCAAGTGCTGGGATTAAAGGCGTGCACCACTACACCAAGCTTGGATTTGTTTTTAAAGCATTTTACTCACCTGTCTCTTTTGACTGGGAATTTCAGACCACTGTTACTTAAAGTTATTATTGAAAAATAAGCAGAGGTTGACATAATTTTCATTTCTTAATCTAATTTTGTATTTCCACAATTATATCTTCATTTAGTTTCTTTGTGTTGCCTCTTGAGTATAGTTGTTCCTTTATCCATTCTTTGTATTGCTTCAAGTATTCTCTGAATGGCTGATTTTGTGGAATTGCATTCTTTCATCTTATTCATGCCTTCAAAGATCTTTTTATTTCCCTTTCAACTATAATATTTATATTTTCTTGGTAATGAATTCTGCATTGGCATCTATGGTCATTTAGAATTGGCAATACTTTGATACAGGTTCTTTCAGTTTTCATGCTTTTCATTGATAAGCCTGCTGTAATTCTGATGGATTTTCCTTTATTTGTGAATTCTTTTTCTTTTTCAGCTTTAAGTATTCTCTCTTCATTCTGTACATTTAGTGATTTTCCTGTGACATGCTGTGGGGAGTTTCTTTTCTGGTCCTATTTTGTGTTCTATATGCTTCTTTTATTTGTATGGGCATATCTTTCCTTAATTTTGGGAAGTTCTCATCTATAATCCTGTTTAAGATCGGGTCAAGACCATTAACCTAAATTTCTTTTCCTTCACCTATGCCTATTGTGACACTTTCTGTCGCTGTTATAAAAACACTGAGAAAGCACCTTATAAACGGAAAAGTTTACTTGATCTTCTGGTTCCAGGGCAATTATAGTCCATCATGGTGGGAGTCATAATGGCAGGAAGTGACTTGAGCAGGAGAGGAAGCTAAGCTCTCACATCTTCCAGAAGGCACAGGAGGCTGGTGAGTGCCTGGAAGTGAGTTCTGGCAAGGCTTAAGAACTCTATAAGCCCATCCCCTGTGACATGTTTCCTCTATGATAGCCACACCTTCTAAGACCTCCCTAAACAGTGCCAAGAACTGGGGACAAAATGTGCAAATACCTGGAGCATATGGCAGACATTTTCATTCAAACCACCATACCTATAATACATAGACTTGTTCTTTTCATCATGTCCCACATTTCCTGCATGGTTATTACTCCTTTACTTAAAAATTTTTATAATCTTTGCTTCAGCACGCCAGTTCTTCAACTTTATTATTCAGTGTTGACATTCTGTTTTCCATTTCATTCATTCTATCGGTGAGACTATCTCCTGATGTTTCAAATTGAATCATTGATTTTTTTCCTTTTCATTCCCTTCTTCATTTCAGCTTGGGTTTTCTTCAATATTTCTATCTCTTGTGAATTCAGTCAGAGGTTTATTTATCCCTGTCTTCTAGTTCTTTGTTTGTGTGTTCTTTAAATTCATTGAATTATTTGATCAGATTTGTGATTGTTCTTTTAAATTCAGTTTCCTATACTACTGCTGGTGTACGTTGGGAACACACTCTTTCGGTTTCTCTATTATTTTTTCATTCTGATTTTACATATTAATATCTTATTGTTTGTGATTCTGGTATGAAATTCTAACCTTCCTTTGCTGTGTTGTAATCTGTTTGTATTATTGTTGTGCCTTGTTTGTTTTCTGACTGGGTATGCAAAGCTGGTTGGTCTAGGCTTCAAGTTCTCTTTGACAGAAATTTATATTGGACAGAACAGATGGTTTCAGCCCACCTACTGAGGAGCTCCTGCAGAGGCCCAAATCAGGATCCAGTCAAGTACTCTCTCTCATATTTCCTCCTTAGGTGTGTACTACTACTAGCTAATAATCTCAGCACAATCTGGGAAGTTCACTAAGGACACATCATATTTAAGCACTCTCAGGCAATTTCCAAGCATCTGGGTCCCTACTGAAGGGCAGAGAATACTATACTTGGGGTAGTGGAAGGACTGTAGGAATTCCCAATGTAGGGGATTGGCACTGTGTGCTTTGGGAAAGCTCACCTTCATTCAGAAGCCAGATCCAGGAAATGGCTTACATAACAAATAGTGTCTTCTTGTAGTTGCTGTCTGTTAAGGTCTGGAAGAGTACTGTAGGGCAGAGAAGTCTGGTTCTGGTGCAGCGGGACACATGTCACCACAATCCTCTAAGGGCAGTCTTCTAAGGTCTGGTTCAACTGTAATTTCTCTTGTTACAAAAATAGTACTAATATGAATTATACTTCTCAGATTCTCATTATAGTTTATGCTCAGCTGCTCTAAGAAACTCTGACTTTAACTTAATTGGTGCATATGTTTTAATTTTATTTTTTTTAAATAAAACATCAGCTTGCCACTAGAAATTAGGTATAAACATTGCCTAAGAGAGTTCTCACAACCCCTTTTGGTATTATTATTGAGGTACATCAAAAAGCAAATGATTAACCAAATAATATTATTCCAATAATTATTAGTTTGGAAAATATGTAGAATTATACAGCATTCATTAGTAGGGTATAGCAAGAGATTTATTTTTAAAACAATTCATTGAATGAAAATCAATACTTTTTAATATCTACAAGCCAACAAAAATCACTTTATTTAATAATGAATACAATTCACAAAATGTGTGCTTATATTTTAAAAACTGGCAATTTTATCTTAAGGATTCTGAGCAGAAGTCCTTTGAAACAAAACAGAGCACAGCTCCTCTTTTTAATGAACAACGACTCTTTTTGCTGCTGCAAGGCCAGTCAGTGTCAGAGCCCATCTCTTTTGGTGAGTCACAGTTTTCTAGCAGCTCCGAAAATTCAGTGCTGACACTGAACCACACACTGGCCACAGTACATCCCTGTGAAATCAAGACACAAGAAAGCTGCAAAAATTAGACATGACGATGTGTTTTTATGGTGCTTGACGATCTTAGCCAGTGTGCTCCTTGCCATCCTAAGTCTGATTTTGCAAACATTTATTATTCATTTTACAAACATTTACTACTGAATTGCTATTGTAACTTCTCTTCCATATATGGATTTGATATGTAGAAAAATAATGTTCGGTTAACCTTAAGACACACACACACGATTAATTATGCTCATGTATTTGCTACATGAAGACACTATTTTTTAAGTAGTAATTTTCTCAGTCCTGTAATAACTTCTTTGTTCCTAAGGCTGTATATCATGGGGTTGAACATGGGGGTCACAATGGTGTAGAGCAGAGAGAGCAATTTGTCAGTACCTGGAGAATGGGTGGATTTGGGGCTTAAATAAGTGATGGTACCAGATCCATAAAATAAAATGACTATCAGTAGGTGGGAAGAACATGTGGAGAAGGCTTTAGCCTGTCCTTTGGCTGTTGGCAACCGCAGAATGGTTGCAATGATTCTGCTGTAAGAAGCAAGCACCAGTATAAAAGGGACAGCACCAACCATCATTACAATCACATAGACAAACAACTCGTATACTGACATGTCCCCACAGGCGAGTTTGATAACAGGGGGTACATCACAGAAAAAGTGGTCTATTTTAGTAGAATTGCAGAAGTGCAGAGAGAATATCTGACAGGTTTGCCCTAACTGGACTGGCATGCCACCAAGCCAGGAGCCCACTGCCAGCTGTGTGCACTTTGTTGAGTTCATGACCACAGGATAGAGTAGAGGGTTACAAATGGCCACATAGCGGTCATAGGACATCACAGCCAGGAGGAATGACTCAGCAGTTCCCAACACAAGGAAGAAACACATTTGGACTGCACAGGCCGTTATAGAAATATGTCTATCCTGAGTCCAAATGTTGAACAAAATCCTAGGAACGGTGACGGTAACATAGCAGATTTCCAAGGAAGAAAAATTTGCCAGGAAAAAATACATAGGTTTCTGTAATGCAGGATCCATCGCTGTTATTATTATTATGAGGCAATTCCCAGCTAGGATAATCACATACATGATGGAAAACAGACCAAATAGGAACCCTTGGAGGTTAGGGAGGTCAGAGAATCCCAACAGGACGAACTCCATCACTGTGGAAACACTGTCTTCTGTCTTCATCTCTTCATGTTTTATCTGTGTGGAGTGTTTATAAGGAGTAGATGTCATTTCTGAATTTGCATTTATTGTCATATATATAATCTAAAGATAGGCCTATATAGTCTACAGTTTCTCTTTATGATAATAAATAACAAAATTATAACTTCCATTTCTCAAAAATAGTAATTAATATAATTTTATTAGTGACTATACATATGCAATTTGATCTTTTATATGTCTGATATATACTTTTTATTAGATAATGCATTAATTTAAATTTTATAATTTTCTCTCATCATCAAAATAAGAATTATTAGTCAATATAATGTTGACTTCTTTTATTGGTGGCCATATTTCTGACCCATTTCCAAGCTATTTTTACAAGTACAAATTTTACTTTTTATTCAAATAAACATTATCTATGGCCATTTTAAAACAAACATTATATTTCCTATGTCTATACTATGGAAACTAGTTTTGCTCAATTTTTATATGCTTTATACCCAGATACTATCATTACTTAAAAAAATCATGAAACTATGAAATATTATTTAATTAAAAATTCTGTTTTTATTTCAATGTGCTATGTATGAAATAAACAATCATAAATTTGTTTCAATTTTAAGCTAGGTAATAAGAAATCTCTGAGCTGTTTATTTTTTCCTTATGAAATTTCTGTGTATCATTCAACAAAGAATACACTTGATGTATTTACTATATAATCAAAGCACATTCTAGAATATCTATCTGTGACTACACATTCCATTTTTTAGTTTTTATTTATGTGTGTGTTCATGTGTATGCATGTGTGTAAACATATGTTTTCATACTTATGTTATTTTGTTGTGCTATTTTCCTACATCTGAAACTACATTAATTTTTGTATAACCACTGCATCTTCTATGCAACACAGCATATTTTGGAGCAAAATATATTCATTGATTTATTGTAAAATATAATAATATACCAAAATCCCTAATTTATATGAATAGTTCCAAGAATATAACAAGCAATTTTTTTCCAACTGAATTTCAGTCTGATTCCAGTTGGCTATTAAACTTGTCTTACACATGCATCTGTGTGCATGATCAGTAGTTGTTTGAGAGTAAGGATTTTGAAAGTTATTTTTCCATTAACTCATGCATAAGCAGCATGTAATTATTTTAGAGTTGAGCTATATTTTAATCATTTTATGTGTTTGGAAAAGCAAATGAACTAAATCCTTATATAAAGGAGAGAACTTATTACCATTTGCTAAGAGTAGTCATTTTGGAGATTGATCAAGGTGTGACTAATACAAATGAAACATGAACTTATTTTAACACCTACAGTATTCTAGAGAAACTAATACATTACTTTAAATATACAAATTATTCCATAATTATATAATTCTCTTAATTAAAACTAATGACAGCTATTTTTTTAAAAAGCTGCAATATTGTCTCACAAAAGAAAGAGCAGAGAATTACTTACCTGAAAAAGTCCATATACTTTCAAACAATAATAGCCATTCTCACTGCAATTGGTTTTCCAGCAGGACTGTATGGCAACATCTTATTGCTAAAGATATTACCTATCTGAGTCATAGATCAAAAAAGAAAATCAATATGCTATTGACCTTGAAGATGAATCTCTGTTGGCTAGTTTTCATAGTACTAGTAAGTGCTATGAATGTTACTGACATTTAAATGTAATCATTAACCTTGCCCATCTGTGAGCCCTGCAAATTACAGTGGAAATCACCTTGGTACACTATGGTGCAATAGTAGCATGCATATTATGGAAGTAATCAATCACCTTCAAATTAGATATAAGGTCCAATCTCAACATGGAGAACATAACTGACATTGCAAGAATATATGCCAAGACAAATCACAGGCAATAGGGGAGAACTTACAGTCTTCATGCCAAATAGGAATAATTATAAACTCTTTCACAATGACTAATTGTTATACCTATAGATTAGCACAGCTCTCCATTTTCACCAGAGAGGATGCTCAGGTGACTAAATTTGCATAACATTGTGTAGAGACACACTGTGTACTGTGTTCTTTCCAGTTTGTACATGAAAATGGTATAATGGATAATTTTATTATTGTCCATTACTCTGATCTGCATTCATAATCTGGAGGATGAAGTAGACTGACTGGATCATGTGGAATGGGGCATGAAGACTAAGGTTGAAGAACACATACTTGCCTGAACAGTATTGACACTGTGACAATACTTTTTTAATGAAAGAAAAATGTAATTATTTTTATTTTCAATATGGGATGGCTTTTACAATGTTTTTATACACTAAAAAATTAATTTTACCTAACCTTACAACTAAAAACTACTGTTATATATAATGTAGAAAAATTCACAGCTTTTTTCAATGTAATACTGACTCTTATTATTGGTCACCATATTTCTAACCATATTTCCAAACTTTTTCCCTGTGGTCATCAGTTCAAATTTCATTTTTATTCAAATAAACATTTTATATCCTCTCTTTAATTTGAATGTTATATTACTTATTTATTTATTTATTTATTTATTATTTATTTGGTATTCTTGAGACAAGGTCTCCCTGTAGCCCCAGCTGACCTGGAACTGACTATGTAGCCCAGGCTAGCCTTGAACTCACAGAGATCTGCCTGCCTCTGCCTCCCAAGTGGTGTGATTAAGGGTGTGTGCGATCACACCCGTGAATATTATATATTTTTTCTGTTTCCTTGCTTGACATTTCCAGTTTCTCGCAGTTTTGATGTGCTTCTGTATCCAGCTACTATCATTATTAAGTTAAAATAGCTCATCTAGTTCTATAAAATGTTATTTATTTCAAAATTCTGATTTCATCTCAATGTAAGGTGTATGTAATCAATAATCATAATTTTTGTTTCAGTTTTAAACTGGGTAATAAAGAATCTCTGAGTTGTTTATTTTTTTTCTCTAGGAAGTGATTCAAACAAGAATGCACATGTAGTATATGTTATATAATGAAAGCATATTCCAGAATCCTCATCTTTGGTTATATTCAATCAACCACCTTCTCACTAATTTTGAGCTACTGCTGCCTTTTCTTTAGTTTTCTCTCCTCTCTCTCTCTCTCTCATTCTCTCTCTCTCTGTGTGTGTGTGTATGCATGTGTGTAAATATGCATTCATGCTCATGTTCTATTTGTTTCACAATTTTTTATTTCTGAAACTCTATTAATTTTTGTATAGTCACTGCATTTTTTGTGAAACACATAATATATTGTTGAACTAATTAAGATACTAATATATCAAAATCGCTGCTATATATGAATAATCTCCAAATTATAATCAGTAATGTTTCTAACTGAATTTCAGACTGATTTTAGAGCATAGTAAGCTTGTCTTACACATGCTTCTCTGTGCATGGTCAGTAGGTTTTTGGGAGTAAAGGTTTCAATGCTTTTTTTCCCCCATTAATTCATGTATAAGCTGCATGTAATTATTTTGGGGATGAGCAATATTTTAATCATTTTATGTAGTAAATGTTTAGAAAAATCAAACTCCTTATAAAAAGGAAAGAGTCTATGATGAATTGCTAACATTAGTTTTTCTTTAGAGTGATAAGGGTGTGACTTTAATACATATGAAATATAAATTTATTTTGTCACCTACAATATTCAAAGTAAATTTCACTTTAAATATTCAAGATATACCATAATTATATAATTCTCTCAATTAAAATTGATGATAGTGATTATAGAAAGAAAGGTACAATATGGTGCAGAGAAGCAAGAGTAGAGAATCAAGTATCATGTGTCAAGAACTAGATTTAAAAAATATAGCAATTAATTGTTTTGACAAAATCACCAAGAGGAAATGATGCATATTTATGAAAAAATTACCCTGGTAATTTTAGCATTAAGCAATCCTGTATGCATCAAATAAAAACATGGTATATAAGAATATACATATTTTCTTATTAAGAAAAATTATCAAGAAAAAAAGCAAGAAAATTAGATGTGATTATAGAAAATTTAGTAACTGAAACGTCCAAAATACTCTAATTTAGTAGGAAATTGAATTGCAGAAATATGACTTTAAGTTTAGTCTGCACAAAATACTTCTCTCATTGCACTGCATTCTAATGCTATAAATGTGCTGCATTTACATAGCAATTTCAATTTAATGAAGCGATTAATAGAGGAAACGTGATAAACAATCAAGGAAGCATTTGAATACTATCAGGAGAGAATGTAAACCAAATTCAGCAATATCCTTTCTCTATTTTGCTAATTCTATAAAATTGTATGGAAATCTCCAGATTTTACATGTATGAAATACTTGAATATATCCTAAACTTGTATTGTCTTTAATAAATCTTTAGATTTAAAGGATGATGATGAAAATGTTGATGACCGCCATCCTTTTCAGGTAGGCTTTATATTTAATAATCTATTTTCTTTCTTCTCTCATGTGATCGTTTATATTATAGTCATATAAAACCACATATACTTGTGAAGATAAACTTGTATTAAAAGAATTTCATATTTACTCATATGAATCGAAGTTAAATATAAAACTTACCATGATTTGTTGACCAAAATGAAAATGGAGAAAGAAAAAAAATTAAGGTCATGGAATTCACTTTATTTGAAGCAGAGCCTGTCTATTCTCTCAAATGTCTCATACTGTAAGAACTAATAATATACTCTAAGTTCTAACTAATCTCTACCATGGGAATTAACTGCTTTCCCATATGACCCTCTCATTTAACTAACTAACTCAAGGAAACTGGCACAACAAAATACTGTCTTAGAAAAGGGATATTTTTAATAATGTCACACAGGTACATTCAATGTACTAAATTCAACTCCAATTCCCTCTCCCCCAGTTCCTCTTCTATCACCCCCTCCACTCTTCTCTCTCAACTTCATGTGCTTCTTTTTGCACACACGAAGTTCTGGGTGCTGCTGATGTGCATGTGTGTAGGACCATCTACTAGAGCATAGGTAGCCTCTTAGGAGCCACATCCTGGAAGAAAACCGATTCTTCATCACCCAATAGCTTATCAGTTTGTGGTCACTTCATAAGTCTGCCCGCCGCCACCCT